TTAGAAGTCTTTTATGGACGTCACAGGGATTCTGGTAAGAGAATATGATCTATGTTACGATTTCAAAAGTGTTATAATGAAAACGATTTTAAAAAAAATACTTCAGTAGCTAGACAGGGATTTTTTCTGATGTGTGTGTTGGCAGGAAGAAGCACACTGGCCTTGCAGCTGGTGAGTTCTGTACATGAGGCACCTGAGGTACCCGAGACAGCCAAGGCAGCATAGCTCGCGTGAGCCAACGTACACTTGGGGTATGTATCAAAGTCAGATCAGTTTGTGCTGCGCAATGGGCTTGGGCTCTTGACAAATTTGGCTCAGAACTTTCCAATGTGGTGGTAAAGAAGTGTGTTAGAAAGGAGCCTAGTGAGGAGTGGCATTTCTCGGGGGTCGGTATTGGGACTGGTGCAGTTTAACATCTTTGTTGGAGACATGGAAAGTAGCATCAAGTGCACCCTCGGCAGGTTTGCTGACACCATGGAGCTGTGTGGGGCAGTCCCACGCGCTGGAGAAACGCCGTTAGGGAAGGACAAAAATGTCTTCAGCTTTTTTCACTGGAAGGAGCTATTGGCTGCCTCAGCTTGCTCTGGTAAACCCAGAAATTGAACTCCTGAGCTCTGGACATGGGCATTGCCTTTTTTGGCAGAAATATATGTGGAGTTTGTTGCTAAAACTTCACCAAGGATGACCCATTTTTTGTTAAGTTACTTAGCTCTGAGGTGGAACTCACCAGCCAAACTGGTGAGTTTGGGGGCTTTCTCTACATCAATGAATCATGAAAGTGAAAACTGTCATTGAATTTTTTTTCCCTCCAGCTTCTTTTTCTGTGTATTGGGTAACCTTAAACAATAATGTGAAAAAGAACATCGTAAAGCTAGGAAATGTGAAATAAGGTTGCTTTATACAATCTTAATTCATTGTCATGTGTCACTTTGTGCATAGATATCCATTACATTCAGTGCAGAGAATTGCTGTTCCCTCTTGAGCAGTGATTTAGTATTGTTTCCCCATCCTTAATTACGTCTTTGTATTATTTAGCATATATTGTTCAAGTACTATTCTGAATATATAATTCCTTTTTTCTTATGAGCTTTTCCATAACGCTTCATTTGAGGTCCTAAGAGTTTGGCACTTCTACAGATCAGATTTCAAGGAATCGCAAATGAGACTCCTAGGAAATTAAGATCACAATTAATGATCATCAGGAGAAAGTTTTGCAGAACAGCAAATCTGACGAGCAGCCCAGTGCATAGTGCTGTAGAAGGTGCAGGGACAATATACAGTTCTTCAATTAAATGTCCAACTGCTTTAACAAGATGATGCTGCCTTTTTGCTGGCTGACTCCTGCAATGTTTGCACATTTCTCAGCATCTTCAGTAAATGGGAAAGGTATCTTACAAATGTCCTACAAACAACAGTCCTTCATTACACAGCTATGATTTATCCCTGAACTGTCACATGAACCAAGTGAAATATAAACATCTACACGGAAAAATAGTCAATGACCATATATTTAATGCTTGTATTATAATGGATATAGATGATGTGACAAATTAAGGTTGCACAGGTATCCTGACCTGAAGAGTGGCTTGACTTTGGAACCATGGTATTTTAAGGTGGCTTGTAATGATGTTACACATATGGCAAGATAAGAAAACCTCAGCTTGGTTCCAATGTTTTGGGACATACAGAAATAAGTGCAAGTGCAGGGTCAGCAAGTGTTTTTCCTGAGATGTTTTTTAAATACGTACTTGGCTTAAGCCCTTTTTGTACAGCATTCATGTGTTTGTGTGAAGTGGCCTTAAAGAAGCCTAAAATATGTCACAGAATCACAGAATTGCATAGGTTGGAAGGGACCTCTAAGATCATCTAGTCCAATCATAAAAAAAAAGGGCAAACCAAAAAAAAAAAACACCCACCAAACGAAACACACACACACCAACATTAAACCATACTCCTGAGCACCATGTCCATTCGTCTTTTGAACACCTCCAGGGGTGGTGCCTCAACCACTTCCCTGGGCAGCCCGTTCCAAGGCTTAATAACCCTTTCCGTGAAGAAATTGTTCCTAATCTCCAATCTAAACCTCCCCTGGAGCAATTTGAGGCCGTTTCCTCTTGTCCTGTTGCCTCTGACTTGGGAGAAGAGACCGACATCCCCGCCAGCTACACCCTCCTTTCAGGGAGTTGGAGAGAGCGAGAAGGTCTCCCCTCAGCCTCCTCTTCGCTAGACTGAACACCCCCAGCATCTCCTCATCAGACTTATTCTCCAGGCCCCTCACCAGCTTCATTGCCCTTTCTCTGGACCCGAAATATCCCATTGTGTATTCTTTGGAAGACGTGTATTCATCAGCAAGTCACGGTTTCTCTTCCTCAGTAATTCCAGTATTTTAACAAAAAATTTGTGTTCAGTATTTGTTCTAGGGCTGATGTCATATCAGATGTTTTGGTTTGGGGTTTTTTTGCAACACTTCATGAGAATCTCTTGCCTGCTGCTGGTGGTTTAGGTTGAAGGAGGAATGTAGTTCTGTAACTCTCATGTCTGAACACTTAGATTTTTGAGAATGAAAGTTCTTACTCCTTTTATGGAACACCATTTTCAGGCATGGTTTACAGTATTTGTACTCATTGCACTCCCTTCCTGTATCACATAGGCAGAGAGCACTTCCACTCCTTTGGACATTAGTAAATTGATGTTTTGCCCTGAATTCTCAGACAACAAAATATCCTTCGTTTTAAAGCCTATTTTTTAGTTGTAGTTTTGGGTTTTCCTTTGTCTCTCTCTTCTCCCCCCCCCCCATTCAGTTAATGAAAATCATATGGAAGAGAAATTAGCTAACAGTATCAAAGAAAGGGGGAGAGATGTGTTGCTGTCTGTCAGAGGGCAGACCTGACATACCTGCTGCCAACGCCCCGACACCATGACCTGGTGGCACCACACCAGCAGTGAGACAATGGGTCAGGATTAGGATGGCAGCAAGTTACCATTTCCTGGGTTCTGTACTGGCTGCTGAATCGAGTGTCAGGATTTGTATCATGGCATGCTCCATCCTGAGTTCCAATTTATTTTCTGTCCTTGTGAAATGCAAGCTTCTGTTTTCCCTTGCTCAAACTATTCTCCAGATTACGCTGTGTTTCAGAATGTGGCTACACCCCAGCCCACCCAAGTGTGGAAAGTAGTAACTAGTCTGCTTCCTGAGTAATACTGTGTACAGTGAAACAGGCGCTCACATACTGGGGTGTGTGTCTGTGGGCAGTTCCCCCCTCCCCTCCCGAAGCCTTAGTTTGTGCCCCAGGTGTTCTTACTGCAGGGTGAAGGGATTATTTTGTGGAAGGTGGTGTCGCCCATCAAATCCCTGCCTCATTTTATGGTTGAAACTGTAAGGTACCTCTGTAATTGTGTAGAACATGGCTAAAAAGAAAAGAAGGGTTTGGGGATGAAAGTATTTGCTTGTTTATCTAGAGCATATTTGTTATTTGTAGCTCAGCCACAAAGTTAAACGTCACACAGAGCTAAACCTCACGGCTGAGGGACAGGTGCAGCAGGGCTTTGGAGCATGGAAAGGGCTCAATATTGCTAATTATCTTAAAAAAGTGAATCTTAGTCTTCGATGTGGAAGACTATAGCTATACTTTTTCATGTCTTTTTCTTCCCCAGTTCTAGACTGATGGTGATACCAGACATTTAACTCAGAAGAAAGAAAAGTTTGAAGAACCTAGACACTTTTGTGAGGAGCAACATATAAAGGTTAAGAAGAAACAGCACTTGTTTTAAGGACAGAGTACAGCGCATGAGTGAACAAGGCAAGGAGTCTACCTGAATGCACAGAAAGTAAATAGCAAATGGCTGCTTTTTCACAGCGTGTTTACTATCGTACATATTGCCTGAAGTGGTGACCTAAAGTGGTATTTCATATAACTAAATTATATCAGAGTAGACATATAGGAGGAGTAAATTAAGCTTGCAGAGGCTAATAATTTTTGTTAATTTTGAGGCCTTGAGTTGGTTCTAAACATTACATTAGTATTAAGTGCAATATTAGTGTAATTCTAATTAATACCAGCTGAACAACATACTAAACACTGATGTAGGCCCGTGCACAGTCTGTCGCAGGCGGGCTTGTGTCAAGTCTCTATACAGTGTTTCTTGCCAGTGTCTCATTTGCTTCACATCTGGGCTATTTGTGTTGCAGAGGGAAGAAACTGAGACACAGCACAGTAGGTGGCCATGTGCTGAGCACCTCTGGCACGTAAGTGGTACTTTCTAGAAGACGGGTGCATTCCTTGTAAAAATAGCTGATCGACGCTGCAAGGTGGTAGTTGCAGAACAGCCACAGCGGGGCTCTGAGTCACTTGCTGAGACTGCAAGTCTCGGCTTGATCTTGCCTTAAATGCCTTGTATACAAGCCCAGAGAACACTGCCTCATCTGTAACAAAAAAGACAAAGTAGGTGTGTACAGAGTGTCAGTTTTGGAAAATACCTTTAAGAAAGATGAATTTTCAGGTCCAGTGAAATCAAACACCTCTAGAACTAATTAACAACTGTTCCTAAAAGTTTTTCCATTGATGCAATTTGCACATTTATCAGTTTAATTTTCACCACTTTAACCTTTGTGGAAATCACTTTGTTGGCACTAACACAACATATAAAACACTCTCATAGAACAGGCTTGGGAAAAAATAAAAGTTGGGTTTTTTGGGGGGTGTGTGTGTGTGTGTCTGTAAACAGTAGCTGCAAGAACTGAGTGGGTTTAGCAATGATGCCATGTGCTTGGGTCACCAACAGTATGCAATTTGAAGACAAAAGCCAAATCTATATGCTAAAGTTGTTAGCTATTGTAATCTATATGCTATAGTTTTCATAACAACAACTTCTGAAGGCGCACATATAAATATTTATATTAAAACATCAACCATAGTGAAGCGATGCTTTCTTGCTGGAAGGATGCTAAGATACATGCTTTCACACACTATTGACTTTACAATATTTTTAACTTTATTTGCACATTTGAAAATACAAACAAAAATATTAATGGAGTCAAGGCAAGGAAGAGGACAACACATGTCCATTAATCTAAAACATTTGGACAGCTTTATAGCCACTAATCACATGAAGTACAATCCTGTTTTCAGTTCATACATCGCAATACAGTAGGTCCAGTTGCTCTAGTTCCTGGGGTTGTGCACTTTACAAAGAAATTGCTGAAGGCAGTGATCTGTAGTAAAGTTAAGAAATGGAAAGAGTAGATCACTCTGAGCATTCTCATTTTTAGAGTGAAAATGTCCTACAGGAAACCTATCTTTAAATAGCAGTCAAAGTCCCTGGCTGTGCTATGCAGTAGTTCTTCACACAATTTTGAGTATCCCTGTTGTCACAGATGGAAATCACAGTGTATCTGCTGTGGCTTCTTGTGTTAAATACCAGTGCTTTTCTGATAAAAGTGGTATGGGGTTGAACTTTATGAACTGCATCTCTTACTACTCAGTAAGTGTTCTTAAGAAGTATTTTCCATCATTTTGGATTTTCTTCTTTTAATACCTGATCCGCATGTTTTAGGATGTTGAACGAAAGTATTTAAAAAGTCTTCATTTTCGCAGGTCAGTTTGATTAAGAAACTCTTACAATGTGTTTCAGTTTTGTTGAGTCTTTTGTGTTGTTTTGGCTGTCAATCAGAACCAGAGAGGTGCGCTGATGATTCTCTACTATTTCAGCAACACTGTCAAAGCGCTGGATAGAGAAAACAAGAGTTAATTAGCACTGGCTTCCTTTGATGCTCTAATATTGACAGTAATCGCTGCATCATCTTTTTGTCTTTGCTTCTGCCAGCATTGAAGAGAGTAGAGCTATGACTGTTACCAATGGAGATGCTCTGCCCTTCAGTAAGGGCACTGATCCTGTTCTTAGTTCTAAATAGTCATAAAGAGATTAAATTTGGACAATAGAAGGCACTATAACCACTAGCTGTCTAATCTATCTCATGCTCCTTTCCATTGCCACCTACACAGACTGAAGCACAGAGGCTGTTACATGGCATTTTAAACTGGCACTGCTTTCAGTTTACCTTCATTTATACCAGGCTGCAGACTGGCAGTTCGGAAGCTGCTTCATCTGTGGCTCCCACCTCAGTTAGAGGGAAGGCAATCTCCAGGAGTAACATGGCACAGTCAGCCATCAATGAGAACTATTCTAGTTACGCAATTTTAACATTTGTCACTGTAAATTCATATCCAGAGTCTGCTAGGTGTGTTGCTTTTTCTTTTGGTCTTTGGTCAAATACAGATTTTGGACTATCTTTTTGCTCCCGAGGTATATTTTGACCCTTTGGTGAAGGCTAGATGAGCTCCAAGCTATTACTATTCTATAACCTAAACCCCATTGCCTGGAAGGCAGGTAATCAGGCTAAGGCAAGCCTACTTTCACATCCCTGAAAAGCTTGCTCTGTGCAGTGGTAACAAACAGTTTTTATTGGCATTTGGATTCCCAAGTGTGTTTTGCTGCCAGAGTAATTATCTGTGTGTCATAACAGCCAACCAGTGATTTTCGCACTCTTAGAACTAGAGTTTAATGTTTTCTTTATGTGAACATGGGATTAAAAGTACAGTGACTCTCCTTTTTGATAGAGGTGATTGTGGTTTGTTTGTCTGGTGGTGGTTTGTCTTTTATTTATTTATTTATCTAGTGTAGCTGTTCTTCCTTTTCAATTTCCCAAGAAACTTAATGAGAGTCTTAAGTAGAAAGTGAATAGAGGACTATGAACAGCCGGAGAATTTACCTAGAAGCTGCAGACTTTTCAAAACAGTTCTACGAGTATGTTTTTAACTTGGGGTTAAAAATCTTGTGGTTAATGGGTGGTTTTAATTACTCACAGTATGCAGGAGTTGGTGTTACATGGGTTTCTCTAGCTTGATAATCAGTCATTATATAGGGTATACTTCTGCCTTGATACATGAAGAATTCTTTTGGTCATAGTACAATATATCCTAATCCTTGCTTATTAAAGGTATATAATAGAAAACTGTTAGGAAAAAAAACCCCACATCATCTCACCTCTTCACCATTTTTTTCTCTGCCCAGTGCATATTGTCTTGTTGATTCAATAAATCGTATTGGAATGTTATATACTCTTCTGTTGTAAAACACAACCAGTGTGTATGGTTGCCGTGAATCCTGTCCAGAACTCTTTCTTATTAGGAAAGATCCATCCTAAAGAGAGAAAAGCAGCGAGTGTATTTAACTTACTTTTTCCAACAACATACCTAGTTTTTAGCTTAATATTTTCATCTGTTAGCATTAAACCCTTTTTCTCATTAGAAAAACTGTACAGCGGGTGATGAGAAGTAACATGTGTCCCTGCTACCAGCACCTTACAAAGGTGTCATGGAAGAATCACATTTGCTGCTGTGTTTAAGAATCACCAGAGAAAGAAGAAATAAACATGCAGTGGGCAGCAGTCTGGCGGGGCCCACAGATTTTTAAGCAGGTAAGCAAGAAAGCAGTGAGGGGTGCAGATACTGTTTCGCAGAGCTGTAAAAGCTGTGATGAAGACAAGCGCCTGGTGTGGGCCAGTGCTCAGCAGGTCACAGCAGCCTGCACTGGTGGTATCACCCCTGGGTCCTGCTGTGTGGAGGTCAGGCAGAGGGGAAGCACACCCTGATGCTGAGCATGCAACTCCACACCTTACTGTTGGAGTGAGTGTCTGGGACACTGGGTTTTGTACACCAAACAGTTGAGAGAACTCAAATTCTCCCAAAACCTAAATGCATAGCATTGCTATTTCAAAATGTACAGCAGCATCAGCCTTTCCAAATAGTAGCTGTTTTGACATGAGCCACTGGACACTTGTGGAGATCATTTGAAAGTCACAGGGCTTTGCCCTCCATTTTAATGGATGCATGAGAGTTACCAGATCTTCCTCAGCTCTCTAGTCTGTGACGGCTTTCTTCTGCACCACACCAGTCTTTGAGCTACACTAATGCAATTTTGTCTTAGTCTGGAAACCACAGTTAAATAGTTTGACCACAATAACTTCATGTTTGAGAGTATTTGCATCACACAGTATTCTGACCCGTTCAGAATACAACTGATGTTCTTAGAATATTTCTACTTGTCTTTTGATTCTTTTATTTGAAGGTTTTTCATAAAACAGACATTTTTTTAAAGTTACCTACCCTGTTTGATCGGTGTAATGCATCCTCTGCCATTTTCCTATCACAGGTAGCAGCATACCATGCTTTACTATGAACACCGGCATCCTAGAAAGAGAGAAACAGTGTTTCACCTGTAAAATAATAATTATAATAAGAAGGAATATGGCCTGTAGAGGAGTTACTACTAAATAACGACAGCTGTGAAGAACTCAAATGCAGAACACTTTAGAAAACACAGAATTCTTTGCCAAGAGCTCACTGTTTTTGTTGGACAGAGGTAGGGCAAAGAAAAACTCAAGTGTCAAACCAGTGGCAGCAGGTGTGTGATAGACGGCTGATATATGACAGAAGAGAGAAGGACACCCTGAGAAATGTAGTTAGGTTCAACTGGAGGACAGTTTGGTATTTTTAGAGTGGGAAGCTATTCCAGTAGAATCTGAAAAGGGTATCCAGGAAATGTTGAGGAATAAATTGACCATTAACAATTTAAATACTCCTCAGCTGTGGACTAGGCAATGGAATGTCCAGATTTGGTAGGCACCTAAGCTTTGGGAATGAAGTTTCCCATATACTTAATGCTAGTTGTGCATATGATCACGATTGCCTCCATCTGAATAGCATGGAGATTGGATAAGTGCATTTTTTTCTCTTTTTGTTGTTATTACATAAGGACAAATGGAGGGAGTCCTACTAATTAAAGCCTTTCCTCTACTAACACAGCACTTCAGCCCCCAGTGCTTTCACCTGAGTCATGACCTAGGGATTCTGTTCTCATTCTGTGATGGATTGAGTCCAAATATATCTATAATTTGAAACAGTGCTCTTATATAAGAGGCATAAACCTGTATTGACTGTGGAGAAGGATTACATCTGTGACAGAATACAAGAGCAGCTTGTATTTCATATCTCTTGGGTGCCTCATTTCTGTACGTTATTCCCTGTGAACACCTCACCAAGATCATCCTTCTTATCTCCATTCTGTTAAATGCTTGGCAGCGTTCTGAGCAGTAAATGAACTTGACCTGTTCTTCCAGTGGAAAACATGGGACAAAGGACTTCATGGATGGGGACACAGGTGCAGACATGAAGATATAAGGTAGAAAGATTGGCACCCTAAAGATAGGTGAATTCTGTTTTAGAAGATAAAGGCTCTCGTAGCAAAGGAAGTGCAAAGCTAAAAAGACAGGAGGAGGCGATGGCAGTTGGGAACAAGTGGTATGAGATTATAATTTGAGCAAGAGTGGTAGAAAACTGGGTAGTAAGAAGATGCAGGATCAAGCATACATTGTGAAGAGGAGTGGAGTTCAGGGAAAAGGTATGAGGGAGTTTAGAGAAGTATGACAAGAAATGATACTCAAGGGAAAGACAGGATGAGGGATTAGAAGCAACCTCAGACTTATGTGTTATCAAACTGCAATAGCTAGGAGATTAACTAGCTGGAAGCTGATGCAAAATCTAACTCAAGTGAGTTGAGACGCTATAGAAACAGTGCTATAGAAACATTCCTAGTCATTTGAACAGTTTTGCTCCAACTTTATTGTAACAAGCTTAATGATAAAATAAATTTTCACACAAGCTTTATCACCTCTGTACAAAATAAAGATGGAATTGCCTAGCTGGCTTATTGCTGCCAAAAAGGGAATATCTTAGCTTCTCCATTGTGCTCATTTTGTTGCTCCTCTGATCCCACAGTGAGATAATTCACTATAGTAATCCCATAGAAAAAAAAACAAAACCTGTTACCTTTTTTTGTTTTGTCTTGTTTAGTGTTTGACTGCCAGGTTGATTTTCTGTCAGCTTAAACCACAGGATCAGGGGAACGCCAGAGAAGTCTGTGGCTGGAAGGGGAGCTGGCAGGGAGGAGAGCACAGAGCCTCCAGTACGTGGGCATTGCACTAAATTCTTGGATTGGCTTAAGCCCTAATATATAACTAACTTTACCTCCAAAATTCTTCCATGTATTTCTCCAGTCACACTATTCATTGGAAGAAGACAGGATGAGAGGAACTGCAAATATGCAAGGCAGAAAGTGAGGCCAGTAAGCCAATCCTTGTTCAGCAGAACAAGGAATTGACTGCCCCCAGACCCTTCTTCCAGCGCTGTGTCCTGTAATCTGGAAGCAGAGAGCTGCTGCCAAAGTCTGGATGGGAACCAAACAAATAATGAACCTTATGGGCATGAATCATTTCTGCAAGCACCTGTATTAGGCAGGATGCTACATACCTGTAGTATGATACCATGTACATAATTGCATTATTGTAGCGAGTGATACCATGGTACATAATTGGTAGGAAATTTTTATTTATTTATTTTAAACAAAATGGATGTTTTATTAAGCTCTGGTTTTGCTCACAGCTTAAAAGTACATAAAAGCTGCAAATGTAATTGTTCCAAGCTGTTTATTTAGCATCTGCTGGATTGCTTATTCAAAAGCAATTTTTATAGTAAATATCCAGTATGACATACTGTTAAAATTTTTCCAGAACTTCAAGTTCTGGAAACACAGTTTTTCACTGTTGTATTTGTCATGTCAGGCTTTAGAACATTTAATGTTATTGGCTGTGCATAACAGAGCCTTTGTTTTGCACTAAGTTTTTTGGGACTACTAGGCTAATAAGAATGGCTTCCTGCCTTTTGTAGTCTCCCTTTGTCCAAAATTAGAGTAAGGGGAATAGATGAAAATAACTTGGCATTTGCTTAGATTATTCAAAGCTTAATGTTGCAACAAAACACAGAAAAAAGAACTGGTCGTAAAACTGACAGCATTAACTGTAATGAGAAAGGTCTGTTTAAAGGAACAGAAAGGAGTAGGACTTGGGAGAGACTAAAAAAACCAACAACATATAGAGGGAGGCATCACAGCCTCCTCCGAGTGGCGGCTGTGACTTTCTTCTCAGTTCTTAAAACTTTGCTGACATCCCAAATTGCAATAAGTAGGGCAATAACGCCTGCTGCGTTGGCCCAGTCAGCACAGCATCTCTCTTTCCTCCTACAAATTTCTGGGATTTCTTAGCACATCACATCAGTGCAGGCTAGTGCCCATTGCTGCAGGTGGCTTCACTCTATCTACTTGGGGCACTTTTTTTTTTTTAGGACTCAGTATGTACAACTATAAGTTAGAAAAATGTAGGCTATTAAAAACACTTTATAGCCATCTATATCAAAGACTAGACTTCAGTACATCAGCACAGATTTCCTTGTTTCAAACAACGTCAAAGTATTATGAACTGGGGAGTCAGGAAGACCTGAAACTAAGAAGCTTTTTTGGATTTTGTTTAAAGTGACAGAATGTCACTTTAAATGGTTCAATATAATGCTATTTACATATTTTTCTACAGTATGTTAAAGCTCTTCTATGCTGTATGTTGTAAACATTTTTATACAAAAGGAAACATTCACATGATTTATGCCACAGAAAGTCTTCACTGCATATGGGACTGTGGATGCCTTCTGCAAAGCATTATGAATGTTATTCTGAGAAGTGTGGAAATACTACTTTAAAGTAAAGGATAAAAAGATTTCCGTAATGTGAATTTTGCTGTTGTTATACCTGGTCTGCGGTACTTGAAATGGATGAAATGCTGCTGTGAGAGGAAGTACCCAGGGAACGGTTTGCAGCTTCTGGCACTTCTAGAAAAGAGAGAGAAGAACATTTGTAAGTTTTCAAAGTATGTTTGTTATGCTGTAAGAAGCTGGTTTGTTACAAGGACTTTGGGAGATCTGGAAAGGCTTGACTTTCGGTATCACCAGGAAAGCTATCTACTATCCGTGGATGAATCCTATCTAAGTGGCTGGGACATTTGCTTGGTCACAAGGGGAGCCCTGCTTATAAAGAGAGAAACAGTTCTGTTAATGACTTGGTTAATAGCCAGAGCTAGCCTTAGTATACAAGAAAAAAAGACACCAAGAATCAATGACGCAATGGATAAAGGAAAGGCAGACACACTGCAAAACTCTGCAAAACACACTCTGGTGTCAGAGGCAGCCGCAGAGATGAGGGACTATACTATAGTATAGGTACTTGTCATCACAGTGGGGTACAGATCTGTGTCTGTACAAGAGGTAATTGTAGAAAGCTGAGTGTTACTTACTCAGTTATTATGGGAGGTTTTATATCCTGTTTGTTTTGCTTATTAGGGAAAAAATAAATGCTAAGAGGACTATTAGAACTCACCTAGTCCTGGCCATGATACTTTGCAGGCTGCTTTATCAAATCTTCACTAGTTTGGTCTGATTTAGATTTTATTTTCAGAAAGTGCTAAGAATGTTATAGAAGAGGTCATACAGTGACTCAGAATTAAAAAATTCAGTTGGACTGGAGAGCTCAGATACCTACATGAAGTAGGTTTAGAACTTCTTTGCAGTAAAGATGCAACTGTCTGGAAGCTGCATCTTCCAGAAGTCTGGAAGTCCAGGTAATACCTCGATAAGTACACTGTAAGGAGCCTTTCCAGCTCTCAATGAATGAATAACCACCTGAAGAAGGCTATCCAATATTAATTTTAGCATTTTGACTGACCAGCTGCAAGAGCAACAGCTGAAAAGTATATTGTATGAATAAAGTAAGAATTGCCAGAAGTCAGGCTGAATTAGACTTTACAAAAGGAAATTAAGACAAATAATACGAGATTCCTTAGCTGTGTAAAAAAGGAAAGAGAAATGGAGCTGCCTGCAGTAGGAATTTTATTGATTTTAAAGATAATCTAGGTTCTACATCAATAGGAGTTCTGGTACAGAAATGGAAATTTCCACAACTGTACTGGAAGCAAAACTCGAGCAGTACAACTGCACTGGTGGGCCCAGATAATCTTTATCCCAGCAATCTTAAAATCTGAGACAACAAATTACAGGACTGGTAACAATAATTTTAAATAAATTTCAAGTCAGGGTGGTACTGTATGATTAAAAAATACCAAATGTAATTGCTATACTTAAAAGTGGAAAATGTGACTTGAGCAACTAAAGGCCTCTTTGTCTGATTCCACAGAACACAAGACACTAGAAGAGAATTTGAAGGAAAGAACATTAAGATTTGGAGGTAAAGGTACAACTAGAAATAGAATAGAATTACCTGAAATTTACCCAAGTAGATAAAAAGCTATTGCTTTTTCATAAAGTAGCAGAGTTCTGCAAAGAGGGAATATGTACTTACTCTGGACTTCAGGAGAGCATTTGATACTGTGCCATATGGGAAATTAGTACTTTTTATGAGGAAGATGAAAGGTAGCACTAGGCTTGTATGTTGACAAGGAAACTTGGCAGGTTATGCTCAAGGGACATTAGTGATTGGGACCAATTGTATCTGTGATTACGTTGTTATTGGACCTGGCACAAAATAAGAGTGTGTATAAAGGAAGTTTACTAGTCAGAGCATCATTTAGCACCAAATAACCTGAAAGAATAGTTATACTTGAGGGATAAGTAAGAATTTATGCTACAAGTTGAAGCACATCAGTTGTGTGACAGAAGCGGAGAAGCGTGAGAACATCAGTCTATTGCATGAACATGAACTGTTATTATACTCCCACAGCACAGGAGATGGAATTGCAACATACATCAAGCAAACACTTTCAGGAAATAGAAATACTAATAATGGCATATAAAGTTTAAGCTACAACACATGCAGATTTCTGTGTTTGAATTCTCATCCATTGACAGTGTACAAGATACCTTCAGACTGAAATACGTGCAGGAAAGTGCTTGTAAGAAGGTCAGACAAATGTCTGCTAACAAGAGACTAGAAAAATGTTACATCTAATTTACACTTCTGTGCAAACAGAGCCCATATATTTTATATATATATATTACTACCTAATTTTTTCTTAACTGTGAACTGAAACTAAGTCCCTCTTTAAAAGTATTACAGAGGAGGTTTCGTATTTGCCAGTATTTTTTTTTCCTGCAGAGAAAGAATAAATGGCTGCCTGCAATAAAAATCTGTCTGGCTTCTAGGCTGAAGCCTGGACCAGCCCAGAAATGTTAGGAAGATGGACGGAATCTTTATTATGATGGGAATTTTTGGTAGAATTTTCCAGTAGTCACAAATGGGAGTGAAGCACCTAATTTCCATCAATTTACACACTAAGCCCGACACAGTCCCTTAATTAAGCCCCTGAGCGAAGTCCCTAGATACATGATCTCTTTGTATGCATTAGAGAGAAGTGTTAATTCCAAACTAAGGAATACACATGGCATCTTGAAATAGTCTTAACTCAAAGATAAATTTGAAATTACAAGTTAATCACATCTTAATTCAAAATCTGAATTATACTTACTTGGCAGAACTGAGGACTTTTGGAGCAAAGACCTGAAATAAATATCAAGAGATTACGGAAAGGTCTGAAGAGATCTACCCAGTTATGAAAATACTATATATTTGAAGCATGCAGTGGTGGAGTGTCTTCCTTCTCTCCCATTTGTCCACTGAGAAATAAGGGCCAGATACAGGTATTTAAAAAAAATATCATATCTTACTAGTACTGACAATTAGGAATTCAAACATCTGGTTTCAATCTCCATCACCTAATTAGAGATTATATCCTCCCATGCTTGGTGGTGGTGATTATAGTATTTGCATGCATTTGTCATGTTTTATTTTTTGCTACTGTGAGGCTGCAATAAACATGACTTTCAAAAAGCAACAGAAGGCTACAGAGAAAACAGTGCTCCCCCCTTGAACTTCCTACAGCTGTGTTCAGAGTGAGCAGTAGGAGCTGGTGCATCGAAATATTCAAAAGATGATGAAAATGGATATTACTTCTGGGAACCACTTGGAAGGGGTGGAAGCGGAAGCTCATGGCTGGAACCTCGTCGTTGTTCTGCTGCTGTAGGTTTTTCTGTAGTTTGGAAAAACAAATTGTAGAGTCAAGATTTCTTCAGAAATATATTGTCCCAGATATGAGAGTCCCAGTAGTTGAAGGAGGTTTTCTCTGATTATTGTAACTTTTGGGGTTTTTACTTAAATGGCAGCATGCTATTCTGTTTCTTTATTAAGTAGTGGCATCCCACCAAATGTCTAGGCAAATAGCTGTGCTGTGAATGCCTGAAGGAGCTCAGTGGGGGAGGAGAGCTGTGTGAGTCGGGGCAGGCTGCCCAAAAGAGCCCAGCCAGAGGAGGTGTGGCTGCCTCTCACCCTTGTGTTAGACAGCAGCTCCTGCTGACTGTCTGCCCGTAGGAGCTGCCGCCTTGCACAGAGGTGAGACACATTCCAGGCCTGTGTGAGGGACTCGCTCTTGCCAGGAGTCGGCCCTGTGTGAGGTGGTGCTTGCTGAGCTCAGAATGACACGCTCAGCTTGGCCTCCCGTCCCCTTCTCCACTTGGAGCACCATGTGGCACATTGCTGCTCCGTCACGTTGTGTGTTACCCTGCCAGTGACCTCAGCAGTCCTACTGCCACTGCTCTTCAGGGAACAGGCTGCCCAGATCCAGTGCAAAACTGCCAAAACCAAACCTCCCTCAAACACTTAGAATAAATTGAATGTGGTGGTGTTTGTTTCATGGTTTTAATAAAAAGAAAATTAAATGCTGATAAATGTCAACCTCTTCACAGTAGCGGAGGTAATTTACCTTCATTTGCAGTTAAGGTCTTTCTGGAAGGTAAACACGGTTTCTGCAATAAAACGGAAGGAAACCAAATATTAAATGGCATGTCACTTAAAGAGATAAACATTCACTTTTTGTTAACTAGTTTACATTTAGAATTGACAGCATCCTGGGGGGATTAGGAGGTAGGGATATAGCCATTCAGTGAGGAGCCTCTAGTTGTATGAGCTTGGGATTTTACAAAGTAGGTTTGGAAGGAATCCCAGTTTGTGTGAGTAAATAGATGGACAAAAGTAAAATCTAGAGAAGCGTGCCTTTTTTTTTTTCCCCAAAGAAAACCTCCCATTAGTAAGTTTATGGTGTAACAAATAGTTTGTTCTTACCTCCAGTCCAAAAATCTAGAGTCTATCCCAAATACTTGCAAATCGAAATTTGAATATTATCTTTGTCAAGCTATGCTCACAAATGTCTAAATACATTTCTTTTTAATAAAAGCTAAACTGTCGGTTTAGCTCACAGTAAAAACTTGACCAACCTTCCAGTTGCATTTTTTTTTTCCATTTTCAAACAATGGTAATGAACTGTCAGTTTCAAAGAAATTTTCAAAGAAACAAGCTTGAAAAATGCTACTAGTTCTCTCACTTTCTCCCACAAGAGGCTTTGGGATATTTTTTCTAATGATGAAATACTGAAAAACCTCTGACAAGTTCTTGTCAAATCCTCCATCTTTCCTGAGCTATCACTATCAAAATAAATCTGTGTTCCCTATATGCAGCCCTGTATACTTCTGAATGGCTTGTGTTCCCATGTATTTCTCATTTTATTCCGTTCTTGCACTGTATTTATTGTTACATCCTAGAGTACTGAATACAAACCTCCCTTTATTCAAACTATTTTTCTGCTTGAGCTTTCTCACTATACTGTGTATATATATATACACACCATATATTACTATACTGAAATATTTCCTTTTTTTATAACCCTTTCCCCTATTCTTTTTATACATTTATGTTGTACCCAAACTCATGATAAAATTAAATTTTATAAATAAATTAAAAATCACCTGTAGAATTATTGATTATGCAATTACAAGTCAACTTACTGGTGAATTTACTGCACTAGAAGTTTTCTTTCTGCAGATTGAAGCAAAAAGAAAAAAACACAACAGTATGGTTACTTAGCAGATACAGTAATTCATTTAGCAACTAAGCATCAGGTTCATTGATTCCCATGACATTTCTGGCCAAGACGGGATTCATCTCCTTACTGCATAGCTGTAGCAGTTGGGGGGGGGGGAAGGAAAAGAAGGAATAAAAATAGAATAAGGGTATTAGATGTAATGTGGGTACTCAGGACAGGTGCTTGTGATATGCAAGAAAGTTACACTCTTATCCAATGCTTAAGATGATGACTTGGGTGGGGTAGAAGAGTTTTAATGAAAATCACATCTTTCTGCACATGCTTCTACTACAGTATGTGACTAAATCAATTAGGGCCATGAAGATGATCAGAGGGCTGAAGTACCTGTCTTGTGAAGAAGTGAGTTGGGGTTGTTCAGCCTGGAGAAGAGAAGGCTCTGGGGAGACCTTAAAAGCAGCCTTTGGGTTCCTGAAGGGGGCTACAGGAGAGCTGGGGAGGGACTCTATCAGGGAGTGTAGAGATAGGGCGAGGGGTAGCGGTTTTAAACTGAAAGAGGGGAGATTTAGATTAGATACGAGAAAGAAATTCTTTACAGTGAGGGTGGTGAGACACTGGAACAGGTTGCCCAGGGAAGTTGTGGCTGCCCCATCCCTGGAGGTGTTCAAGGCCAGGCTGGATGGGGCCTTGAGCAACCTGCTCTAGTGGGAGGTGTCCCTGCCCAGGGCAGGGGGGTTGGAACTGGATGATCTTTAAGATCCCTTCCAATTCTAACCATTCTGTGATTCTATGATCAAGCATGCCAGCCAGCATCTACCATCAGTGGCAGACAGTGAAGCATGCAAGCAGTATTCCTGTAGGAATAACAAAAGAATAGCTTGCTTTTACCTAGCCAGGATATCTTTCATGAACACCAATAAAAATTGCTCCAGAATTCTAATTGCCATAGGCAAGGACAGGACTTAGCTCCTAACATACCTCGTAATTACCCACATCCCAAACAAAGATGTAGTTTTCTTATTTTTTACTCACAGGCCCCTTGGTAATGGAGATGGAGCTGCTCCAGTGGGAAATATGGATTCTTGTGTGGTACTGAAGCTATGACCTAGAGATGCAAACAACTTATTTAGAAAGCAATATTAGCTGTATCTGAACAGAGGGTTTTTCCTCACTGCCATTTCAGCATTAATGTGATAAAAGTAAAAAAATATCAATTGGTTGAATTTTTGTCTTGACATGTTTTCACCCTAATTATACTACAGAACTGTTTGGTATCATTTCTTGCTTATTGCTGACTATTAGAGGTAAAATTTACACCAACACACTCCACTACATGCTATATTAAGGTCACCATTAACATATTGACAACAAATCCCTTTCGTATCACCATGGTTTCTGTACAGAATACTTACTGTCATCATTATTTTTTGCTTCATGATCCTATAATGGAAAAATACATTAGAATTAATAAGAAGCAATTAAAAAATGAATTATTATTAAATGAGAAGTGCATATATAAATAATCTGGTCTTGGTAATCTGTAGTAATGTTTAAAAGGAATATTGTACAGAATGTACACAATATCCAAAATACTTTTCATCAGCTTTTATGATGGCATTTGAAAAATTTTAGCCAACTTCAAACTAATTCCGAACATTCTAATAACCTCGGGATTGCTTATAGTATTGAGGAAATTGGCCCTGAATTTTGCAGTGAGACTTTTTGATTGATTTCATTTCTGAGCTGGAGGGCAGAAATTTTGCAGTAGATTTCAATACACTAGGAATAGATTGTCCACTGAAGGGAGCATACTGAATAGACTGTCTTTTCACCATGCTAGAATTGAAGCAATCCAACTAGTTTCGCAGCTTCTTTTGGAGATGCTTCCTTTTGGCTCCCACTTACTGTCTTTTAGGGAATCAGGCTCCCCCATGATAAGTACCTGTCAAAGAGGCACCAGTCTCATACAGACCAATTTGCCCATCTTCATCCACCAGGTTAATGGCTTTTCACTAATGTTAGTCACAAATGTATCCATTCTCTGGTTGGAGAGGTGTAATCCATCATCCAACAGTTGAGGGAGTGAGATTTGGATATTTTTTTTTCCCAGTCAGCCCAGGCCTTTGAGAGGAATGAGGGTTACAGTTCTGTTAACATTATCAGTGCTGGTTGGTGTTGAGAATGGATCGAATGGGGACAGTTAACAAATGTTCCAGTTATTGTTTTGTTTTGTTAGTGTGCATAGTCAGGAATGGAAGAGCACAGCACTGGACAAACATCATGCTCATTACCATGTTTTTCTTTAAAACTGTAAATGCTGGCCACTTACACAACAAGCAGAGACCCCAAAATTTGGCCTACACCAGGTAATTATTTTCTAGGCTGACTCTTGTGCCAAAATGGATAACGGCACGTAACCAGGAGATGAATACACCCCTTGTACAGATAAGGGTTTGTTTGAGAGCTCCATCCTTGGTGCTGTAACTAACTCAGCGTGTGGCCCCAGTGAAACAATAGGCTCTCTTGATTTTCTGCAGAGCTAGGATGATACCGATCTCAGAGGTGAGCTCTGAGAATGAATTAATGGAGAGGTTTCAGCTGCAATATGGCACTTGAGCCTGTTCTGAAGCAGGAATATTTTTCTTAGTGCAGATCAGAGAGTGGAAGTTCTGTCCAACATTCTCCCTTCAGAAGGATTTTTTTTCCCTAATCTTACATTGGTAAGAAAATCTGATAAATCAAACCATGTAGAGGTATGCAAATCCCGTCCCCCAAAAATACTTGTTATATCTAGAAATTTAAGGACTGAAAGTACAACTGTAAGATGTTCTTATACCACCTGCATTATGTTACCATAACATCTAATGCTACAAATTCCTAATTTTAAGCATCAAACTTCTCAAGGTAGTTGTTGGCAGACTGATTATTGCTTAGGGACAATTCAGAGCACTGGGTTGAGACAGAGTTTGATGCACATAGCTTTTGACACAAGTGCTGATGCACTTACTGTCACCCTATTTCTTGGCTGTTTGTCCCTCATGCACACCTTCTCTCTTGGGCTGGCACAACTGTTAGTCGAGCTATGGTGCAGAATAATTTATGGACCTAATCTGGCTGAAGAACCTTTTATGCATTTGCTTTTAGCCATTTTCTGCAGGTAGACAAGTTTCCAAGTAGTTTGCTTCAGAAAACCTTTGTTCCAGCACAGTGGAAGGGACAGACGGGGGACAAGAGTAGAGGAAGAAGAAGAATGACTTAAAGCCTTAGGAACACAAGCTTGTAATTACTCCTTCATGGACTGTGTTTTCTAGTGATATCAGTTACTCAGACTATTCAGTCTGACATTTTAGAAGCATTCAATTTTTGGAAAGTATTAATCATTCATTATCTGAGAGGAATGAGGTTCAAGGAAGGTGCCTCTGATTGGGCAAAATTGCCCATTGTTACTGAAAGTAAGGTTCCTGGAGTTCAACCGGTATTTTTTGGTAAAAGAAATTATTTTTGTGGACCAGATACATATCCCTTAAAAATCTTTTCTTGGATCAATACAGATGTCCAATGCACCTCTTGTTCAAAAGATTAATAGCCACAATTGCAATATTAGATCGATCTGACACTCAGAGTAATCAGTTTCTGTTATTTAAACCAGATAATAAAAAGCATACATCTACTTATATATATAAAACATGGAACAGCCTAAGTTTAACACATTCTTTTTATAGCGGCACATTAAATTACTCACTGCTTTTGGATGCAGACGGTTTCTGGGAAGAGGCAAAATATTTCTGGAAAATATACACAAAAAGTTAAGATGAATAGGATTTACTTATTTAATTGCTTGGCTCAGATAGGTGTTTCAAGATCTAGAGAGGAGGTGGTCTGCAGTAAGGTGATTTAATTGCAGCTATGTACTGCTGCAGTGGTTATGGTGATTCTGTGCTCTTTGTGTGGAACTACTCTATAACAGCTTCTGTCCTGGACCTCGGGTTCCCTGCAACTGTCCACAGGACCTCACCAAACACCATGACACAGTGCTGTGGATGCCACCTGCTCTTGCTGGGGCATATGGCGTATTTTGTAGAGTGATGTCCTAGAGATGAGACAGTGCTTATGAAGCAGCTTCCTACACTTCTGGAGACACAGGAGTGAAACAGACTGCATACTCAAGTCTCCTTTGCCTCTTTTTCCTCCAGAGACTTGGAATGCAATTCATGGATTTCCTGTGTCCATTTTTTTTTGTTTGTTTCGTTTTTACAAGCAATCCTGTCCCCCATCCCCTGCAAAAACATCTCATTTGTGAGGGTGCAGACATGGGTACAAGGACTTCAAATGGGCTTCCGGAGATCTTTACGCCTGCACTAGAACCCTAAAGAGATATTCAAGAAAATAGTACCCATTTGGCACACTGGCTTGACTACAAAAGTTTGCAAGGATATGAGACCTTTCAATTCTTACCTTGTGCCAAGATCCCTAAGTATTTGTGTGTTCTGACAATTGCTTATTTCCTGAAGGCTACACAATAGAGAGGAGAAAATTTTGTCTCTGCTAATATTTGCTATTGATGTAAGATGCTGTTGGCTTACCTAGAAGTGTCCAGCTTAGGTGACTCTCTGGTCATACTGTGCATGTGGGAGTGCTCTGTATTCTGAGCAGGCATAGCGGGAAGTGGCTTAGTGAACCTAGTATTACAACATGAATTAAGAAAGGAAAATTACATTTAACAACCGTGAATACAAAGGCAACCTCTCTTTCTCCTCCCCTAACCCCTCAAAATTCTAAAAAGTACCCTTAAGCTATTTCTCTTTAATATGTGTTATGTTTGAGTTACTGAAATTAACATACACAATCTTTGTGTAGATAATCTAAAGAGAGAAAAATACCGTATGTATATCTTCTAGAGAGAGAATTATCAAACATATCAAACGTTATCAAACATATCAATTATCAAACATCTAGTATCTAGATGAGGAAATATATTTTCTGACAAGCTTTAAATAATGCACAAACATTTATAGCAATGGCTTACCTGGTCATCAGTGGTGGTGATGTTTTTTCCTGTAAGAGAAAATGCACTGAACTATTTGGTCACTTTTTGATTTCATAAAATACATTTGTGTGATCTTATTTATGTTATCACAGCAATATCTTATTTTTGTCTTGTGGCATAGATTTCTAGTAGAACTCTGCCTGGTAACCTGCACTAGGATGGGAGAGGCAAGAAGTCACCACAAGTAAGTCTGTAAAGTCCTGAGCACATCTCAGTACTTGTAAGTAGGAAGAAAATTACTGTGTCAGAACTGTCATTGCTCCTTTGCTGCAGTTCTGCTTCTGTAAAGTGTTCCCTTAGGCTGCTGCTTCCCAGAACTGGCTCGCTATCACACAGGACTAGGAAACTTCAGCCGCTTCCCATTTACTCTATTCTGCAGATCTTCTGAATTAGTTTGCCAGCTTTTCTGTGAAGGAAGTGTCAGAAAGTTTTAAATGCAGAGATCTGTTCCTATTCTTCCTTCTTCAAAGACTGATCACCCTCTTTTATAATCACATTTGTGCCCTGCCTGTGGGTAATGCAAGTCAAACTATAGAAAGGATTTACCTTGTCTTCAGGAACCTCATAGACTTCTGTAGGACAGGGAGGAAAAAAATGTTCTTTGGTTAGCAAAAATGTACTGCATGCTACCAGAAAAACAGATAAAAATTTGTATCAATTGTACTTCTGCCCCTGGAAAAATAACTTGGAGGATCTGCTCACAGCTTGATTCTGCCTCCAAAACTCTACAGTAGCTACACCCCTTGGTCTTCTAGTGAGAATATCAGGAAAAGTCCCAGAAAGTCTGACAAACAGTCAATGTATTAGTGAATCTTCCCCCCACCCTACAAACTCTGTTTGTTTGTTTGATTTTCTTTTTTCTCCCCCCAACCAAAATGAATGCTTGCATTGCACAAACCTAGGACAGTTTAGAAAAGATGCGTTGTCTCACCTGTGATAGCATTCAGCCTTTACTTGACACTCAGGGAGAAAGATCAGGTGAATCATAAATACAGGCTGGCTCATTTGTGTGGCCAGCATCCACCCCTGAGCTCTGTCCCACAGGTCTATTCTAATTCAAAGCTATTAAAAGGCAAAACCACCAGCATCCTATGTCCAGTTTCTTAAATGAAAGCTGAATCATATTTCAACAAATTTCATGTCAGGCTTCGCTTTTATTGCACTGAAAAATGTCTGAGTTCCCACCAGGGGGAGATGTTTTATTTTTTTAGTAACATCTGTCAGGAGCTGGTTGTTGCTTGACACTGATTTACAGAAACTCTAAGATTGAAAAGGGCATTTTAAAATGTCTGAAAAGTTACTCACAAAATCTTAAGTCATTCAGAAGATAACTTTTGTATGACTTGAAAGCTAAACACATTGCTAAGGACTATGCAAAGACTTTAAAAGAACTGTGTGATCAGTTTGTAAAGGTTACATTCCAAGCAATTAATAAGATGAAAATGGAAGATCAGCTAATGAAAGATCAAATGGTTAGATCAGCTAAGGAAGATTAAGTAAGTATATTTGCACCTACAAAAGCAAATATGATTCCTCTTATTTGCTTTCATTTCTTTTTCTGAATAAAGAACTTAAATGGGAACACAGTTATCACAGGACATGGAAAACACCAGCCTATACAGAATTTCTTTAAGGTTCAATCTTGATGTGGTTTTAAAGTATTGAGTAAATATTCCTATAGTGAAATAGGATTACTAACGTTCTGATTCCTATGACTGGTTTTGCTGTATTGATCCATTTGTATTCTTCTGTTGGAGCAAAGGACTCAAACCAAATTAGTTTGGGGCAAATGACTTCTAGTTTTATTCATACCTAAAAGAGATTTACTATTCAAGCTAGGCAAAACAACTGCTACAACACAGAAAAACCTAAAGTGGAACATATTTTTGTTTTACTGTAGTATGTCATATGGTTTGTGTTTTGACTACATCAAGCATAATTTAATATTCCTCAATCTTAGATTATTTTAACAGTGATACAAACTCCACATACCTTGCATATCAGAAGTAAGAGAAGGCTTTGGAGAAGTAGGGGGGTCTGGCTTTGTTGTCTTCAGGAATTTGTTCACAGGAGCTAAAAATATATTCATATGCATAGATACTTGTCCATGTGTGTGGATATACACACATATTTATATATATACGCATATGTATTAAAAAATACATAAATGTTCCATAAAAATAACATTTATACAATAAGAATAAATATTAAGTAGGTCCACATGATAGTCTTTTTGTATGTCCTTCAACAAACCAAGGCAGAAAGCAGCTCTCATTTTAAAAGGGACACATTATTCAGTGTTCATGCCTTGCTGAATAGGTTTAATACTGTCAGTAATGTCAGAGAGCAGAGCTACATACTTCTCTGTTTACTTTTCACCTTGGACTGTAACAATTTCACTCTCCAAAGAAATATACTTCAAACAGTGAGGTAAAAAATGAATCAGAGTCTGTCATTACTGACTGAAAAATCTAAAAAGGCTTGTTCTTCTCCTGAGGCACTTCAGCAAACAGAATTTTAATGCTGTCACTCCCCTGGATGAGGAGGGAGATCACATACCATGAAAAGCTTCCTGGTTGCATAATGGCTGGACTTCGGAACAACTGCATGAGAGAGGCAGGCCTCAAACATGGCTTCCAGTAAAGTTAAAAATAATTTTCCTTGGCCTTGTCATTGGCTAAAGTAGCCAACTACGTTTTTACAGGCTGTGTTCTCTTTAATAGATGTACCTCCACTCTTTGAACCCTAGAAATAGACATTAATTTGATTCATTTTTTCCCCACTGCTGTTCCTAACAGGGCAATAATTATTAGCTTTAATGACTAAAACTCACATTTGGTAGGTAGTGATGTGCTGCTTTCTGTGGGTTCAATATAGTTATCATCATCATTGTCCACTGGCACAATGTAATTATCCTATGAGAAACGCAGGACAAAAATCACTTAAACCTCCATCATAACAACAAGCTGTTGGGACTGAAGCCCTGGCAGCAGCTTATAGTAGCTGCTATTTCACAGTTACTGCTATTTCAGACATTTATTGTCCTATACGGATGGGATTCTCCAAGACTGAAAATCCCTTACCAAATTACTAGAGTCCTGGACTGGTGGATAAAAGCTCTCTCTTCCCCTTGGACCTGGGATGGCCTTCAAGGTTGCTTTCTCCCCATTGCCTGCAGGTATTTATGGATGAGCAGAAACTATTCTGTAGCCTAAAGAGCCTCTGGAAGCAGGCAGATATCCCCTAGGAATCAGCATGGCACTTGCAGGTCACTATGAGGTATTAAATGATTTGTACTTTAAAGGCTAACAAGGAGACTGTGCTATGTCATTGCTGTGTAGCTTATGATTGGGGCAGGGTCAGTCAATTAAGCTGTCAAAACAAGTACATCTATAAACATTACCTCATCGTCACTACACTCCTTAGGCTTCAGTGGCACTTTTGGTTTTGCAGCAGGAGATGGCAATGGCAGGGATGGCACAGATGGTTTCTTTGGCCTGGACATGGCTGGACTGGATGTACTTGGGAGAAATTTGTTGATGGGAGGAAGCTGCTGGTGACTAGTGTGATTGTCTTTTAATATGGAAGAAAACAACAATTTTAGTAAAAATTACACATTGGCCCCTGGACTGTCTTCTAGTACCTGTGGAACAAGTCTTTACTGTGGCTGCAGCTCAGGTCAAGAGGCAGACCTGAGAGTATCAGAGGCCTGATGTTGAGACTTGTGAGCAAACTGGTCCCATTTCATTGCTCAAGGTAGCAACCTAGTCCTCTCTATCAGACTGCAGAGGGTGCTTAGACACTGGCTGTTGTATGAACAACTGTTTAACTCCCTGGGGAAAAGGTGGTGGCTGGGTGTTGTAGTCCATTAGTCGGTATGTCCTGTGCCAGTATGAACTTTGGTAATAGGAAGTGAAAAAGAGTATATATTACATATGAGAAAGACAACTGTTACACAGCACAAAGGGTGAGACTGAAACATAAATTATGCCAGGTCCTCTTGGGTATCATTTTTAAATTTCCTCCCCTTTACAAAGAACACGTAGGTGAAGTGCTGATAAGCTTCTGGGAGTACATATGTAGCATTTTAGCACTTATTTAATTATATTTAATAACCAGTAACAGTCTTGAATCATACAAAAATGAAAGCAGGCATCATGCCAATCTTTCTTTTCCCTGTGGTTCAAATCTTCATCTAACTGAAGCCAACTTTCATTCCCTTCAATGCAATCTGCCCATGGTTGAAAAGAATCAAAATAGGAACAAAAAATGTAAATAAAATCTTGATCCTGTCCTGTTTTTCAGGATATTTATCTTCCTCAGTACCAGTCTTGAAGGACAGTATGGAGTGAATATTTGGGCTGCTTTGTCCACTGTTTCACTGCTTTTGGAATAATGATTTCAGATACAGAAAAGAGTGACTTGTCTAGTATTATGTGCTTAATTCTCAATATGAATTCCTGCATTAAAATATGCAGATGAATCTGGAACCAAGTTAGTGGTATCTACCATACCTTGGCTTGAATTTTGTAGTTTTTAAATGTCTATCAAAGTCTCTAGGACACATTATATAAAATTCTAAACATTGCTACCAGCAATGCTAACATGTTCCATGCTGTAATAACAAACCATACACCTGAAAGCTGAAGACCTGATTGTCAAAATTAAAAGCAAACACTTGAGGAAAGGACAGGTTAGTCCATTTAAGGCCACTTCTCTTCTAGTACTGATAAATAAGCAATTTCAAGCTGACATAGTCAACTATTCCATAATTACCTGCATATTCACCCCTAGAAATAGGGAATGCAGAGGGAATCTTCTTTTTCTTCTGTTCACTTGGCGGCGGCTCATAGCTATCATCAGGATTCTCTTCATTGGGGACCACATACATCTCAGAGTCAGAGTGGTCATCTGGATTTTCATAATCACTGTCCTAGAAAGACAGAACTTCCCATTTCTCATAACATACTTACGGCTTCATAGCAGTGTATGACAAGTATCCTTGCAGGAGTACGATTAACTAAATTACGAGAACATATGCTTGGAAGGGCATGTTACACTCCCTTTTAGTGCTCCCTCTAAACAAAAAGGCACTCCTGTCTGCCTCCCCTTCTGCTCCTCCCAGGAGCTACTTGCTCTCAGTCTCCTTGCTATCTCCAAGGAATGCTTTCACACCAAGAACTCAGTCTTCAAATTATGGACCAACAGCTTGTTTCCTTTCACAGGACAGTTCCTTCCTAGTTTTGGCTGTCACTCTTGATGTATCCTCTCTCTTTCCTACTAAAAAGGTACTTAGGATCTAAGTCCAGAAGGAAACTAGTCACTTTAGGCTGATAGCCAATGACCATGACTTGCTTCACTCTAACATTCTCTAAAATCTTATCTGAAATTTTTCATTTTTAGGAAGAAGTGGCTTTCCACTCCTCACTCCTTCCACCCACCCTCCCCCAGATAGAAGATCTTACTGGTTTCTGAAATTACTGTTCAGTTTGAGAAGTACCTCAAATCAATGCCTTATCCAAAAAGCTCAGCATCCATGGCTACCACTGACAGTGCTTCTGAGTGTACTTCTAAGTTGAATGTAAAAAAAATGAGGTAGCTAAAAATCAGTGGCTACTTGTAAATAACATTGATGTAACAAATAAGGTAACGTTTCAGTAGTATTAAGTTCAACCACAAGATTCAAAAATAAACTTTTATTATTATTGCTTGTACTGAACTTGTTGCCATGGTAGCTTCCTATTACCCCAAAATATGTACTTACAAAATCATCTGACCATTGTTCCTCTTCATTGTCTGCATGTTCTAAACCAAACATTAGAGTTATTTAAGGAGATGGAATAGTAAGTATAAATGTTTATATTAAGTATAGATTGAAGAAAAAAAAAAAAAAAAAGAAGTATCTATCATATTCAGTAAAAAAAGAGTGGTCAAAGTTTCCTAAACAGATCAGAGCAACACATCTGGTTTGGACTGAACAGTAAATTAAATACCTGCTTGCTTGTTTTTGATAAATGGTTTCAAAGCTGTTGAAAAAGCTTTAGAAAATGACAATCTGCGCATTTTCTGAACAGTGGGGCACACGCTTTACCCAGAGCGTCCTGCTAAATGCATCTAATTTTTAAGTACAAGTAACAATTTCTACACAACAGATCTATTGCTGACCTGCGGGCCTTGCACTTTCTTGTTTTGTGGTTAAAGCTCCAGGAAACCACACTAATTACAAGTGTTTAGATTAAATATAGAATAATTATCTGATAACTTCCAAACTCTGTCCTTCTTGCTTCAGTTTTCATATCGCTGTTTTCCTAACAAGTTAGCTGTTAACTTGTAAAAATGACCACAAACTAGTTCGTGGGCAATGCTGAACGATAAGCAAATACAGTTCTACCTCCAAGATAATTCATGATGTCACCATGATGTCACGTAAATAGTATTAAGATTCTGAATCTGTGATAATCCATTTGTTCAGTTTTTTTCCCTATTTACTTCCACAGCACAACTTCTGGCAGAGGGGACTGGATGTAAATTCTCCTCCATCTTCAGAGCAGCCTACATGCAGAGCCCAGGTAAATACCGATTTTGAAAGAGTAGATACTTGCTACTTCATACAGGACAACTTGGCACCTTTCGCACGCCTCTCATTTCAGAGGTGTAAACTACTTTCAGAGTTATTGATAATGGTATATTATTCATTATTCTCTCATTAAAAACAAATTATGAAGAAAAGTATTGCTGAAATACTGTTAGGTGTACAGGTATCAAATAGACTTGTTGTTTAAATTTACATTAATACAGCCTTACCTGAAGCATAATCCCGTTTTGGTAGACTTGGTGGAGGTTTTTTTTTTAGCCTGTAAACAATAATTATTACATTTATGATCTAATAAGTAACATTCACTAGAAGGGCGCATTAGCCAGACACATAAAAAAAGCTGATAACAAAAGATACCTGCAGCTCAGGAAATACAGATTACCATCACAGATGCTTAGCAAATAGCTACAGGAGAATACTTTGAAAAGCTAGAAACAGATAAGGAATTAGAATCTAATCTGAGATTTTTTTATTTTTTTTTTTTGCTAAGAACATATTTTGAAAGAACAGCTTCCTTGCCCACCCACTCTCCTCTTCATTTGCAATGCAGAAATAGATAACATAGGCATCAGAGATAAATGCATATCTATCTGAAGATGAAAATTTGTTTAGGCTCAGAGAGACTTGCTAAGACTATGGCATAAGAAAGTGGGGAAGCACTCTCCAGTCACATTTTTATAACTATCATTTTGCTTGCACTTTATTTTCTAATTAATGTTTAAAGGTATACCAGGTCCCTCAGGGCCAGATTCTGTTTTCGCATACTATTTTTTTATGGTGTTATGCCCCTTTTTGGTAAATACTGTTACAGTGGCATTTGTAATACCAAGTGAATCAAAAGATAATTTGTAAAAATACTGAAAGGATCTTTGTGGCTGAAAATACACGTATATATGGGCGTGTATATACATGTATATATTTAGCAAACAGGAGTATACATATATGTAATATGTGTACACATATATGTATTTCAGTTCATACATAGGTATGTGTGTATATATATGTATACTCCTGTTTGCTAAATTGCAGCTGTCCAGAGAAGACACTGAATTACACTCAGTTGATATATCAATTATTTCATTACCCTGTAAAAAAAGAGAATAATTTGAGTTCAAAGTCAAAATGAATAGTGCATATGTGACAGAGACCAGACCGATGGACCTGAAGAGAAAAAACACCTTTGCTTTCTGTAGCCATATAAAACATTAACACAATTTACATTAAAATGGCTCTTCAAAGTGACTTGAACATTGTCTGACAGCTTCCCTGCAGCACTGACAGGACCTCACCATGGACCTGAACCTTCATCTACTGAATTGATGGTTTTAATCATTCTTCAATCTGGTCCTAACAAATTCATTTGCAAAAGTAAGCAAATTATTTACAAAAAAAAATTCTCAACAAAGAATTTAAAATGTTTTCTTGTGACTGCTGAGCAATAATGATGTCTACAAATTTTGCTTTACCACAAGAGTTTGACACTCAGTATTCAGGTCCTAAGCATGCTCCTTAGGTGTCACAGCTCAGGTACCAATGTAACTCAGGGTGGTGGAATGCTGACACTAACACATCAGTTTACAAACTTTTCCCTGCCTGTTTTGAGAAATGCTTTGAGTTCAACTTTTGAGTTGAATTAATGGAATTCTGTTGTTCAGATTAAAAAACAAACAAACAAACAAAAAAAGTACATGCACGAATCAAAGAGTAAATGGCACAGGCATTGCTAAAGCTCAAAGAAAACCCCCAAAACAGAACAATCTAGGTACATTGTTTTTTGAAGTGTTTAACTGCTTTGCTCCTTACTAACAACATTAGTGATGGATAGCTGCCTCCTCCAAGTCTTTAAGTTCCCACAGCACAATATAACTTCGTGTACAAACAGTACATTAAAAAGCATTCTCAACAGCTCTGATGTCTTCTGTCCAGGTTAGCACAGGCATGTTAGAAAGAAAAACCCAGGGCCACTGCCAGGGCAGATCTTAGGTCTTCGGGAAGGTAAACCAAAATCTATTAATGGACTTGGCAACATATCGCGAGTTGTTCAGAGATAGCAGAGACTTGGAAAATAGTGGAATTGAGGCAACAGTAAGAGGCTGTCTGGGTCATAGTATGTGGCTTAAGCCACATTATACGTTTCCAAGCCGCTAAACAGGAAACTTTGTCCCAGGCCCTGTAAATCCTGGCAGTGGCCCCGACAGAAAATGTAAATATGTTATAACGAAAGCATTCAAAGCACGGAACAGAGGTCTGTGTCTAAGCAGCCTATCATGCCATTGTGTGTCTCTGAAATAGCATACCGATCCCAAGTATCTTTCCCAGTTTTGCAAATTAAGGCCACTTGTTCATTTTGGAACCTGAATATCAATAGAAGAAAAGAAATAATGTTTCTGTCACAGAGCTGAAACAGTTCATGGCCACACCTATATTTGTTAGAATTACTTTAAATATGTTATTTATTCTAAAATTCAAATCCAGTTAAAAAATAATTCTCACTGTACTGGTATGATTTACTGAGTGGCAGAACTGAAACCCAGGCTCTTTTGAAGTTAACTGGAGCTTTGCTTTGCAAGAGCCAGAACTTACCCAATGTATAAACCAAAATGAAAGCTTGAAAGATATAACCCCTATGCCAAGGAGTGATTACTGAGCTGCTTCAGATCCTGATGTTGTTATCCACATAGATGCTTGCAGAGTGATGACTGACTCTGTGCTGTTACCCTGAAGTTAATGACAAGGGACTGAAAGATTGAAATGCCATCCAACCGAGCATATGTATTTAAGTGGAAGACAGAATGATTTCCTAATGTATCTTTTACCAGACTTATATAAAATTATAGCAAATGCAATTTCCAAGTAAAATATTCTAGTGCTACTCTGCTCTAGAGTTAAGTTACAGGTGGAAAGGTATCTCTGTGTTAGCTGTGATAGAACTCAATTAAATAATTCAAGTTTTCATTTACTTTAGTGGGACCAGCATTTTTCCAAATTTTAGTAGAAAGTAAGTAATTTTCTGGAGATTTTGAAATATCCCTGAGAAATTTCAAAGGACTCAATAAAATCCAAGTACATTTGTAAGATAATGTTTACAGGTTTTTAAAAGCAACATAACACATCTTACCATATACATTTTAGGTTCAACAAGTAACCAAGCATTTGAGACATTTCACATAATAGGGTCTAGGTGCTGCTCAAACAAGAACACAATGCAAGAGAAATTCACAATAACTTCTACAAGAATAAATTATTTTATTTTAAGAAACAATATGTCCTGAGGTTTTCCTTTGCAGCATGCTTAGGTTGATCCAGTGAAGCATTTAGGCATGCACTTCACTTTACTCATGTAAGGAGTCCTATAGGAACTGAGAATATTAATCACATACTTAAAATTAATAATGCATTGTTGCATTTTCCCGCACTATATGGAGAATTATTAAATAGACTGAAGCAAGAGGTCTGGATTTTCTGCTCTAGCAACACTTTTTTTTGAAAAAAAAACAGACTGCATGCAGAAAAGTAACAGTAGTAGCCCTTTACACATTGCACTTGATTCTACGGATGCATTCCCTCACCAGTGCTTCTGCTCGCTCCCCCAGCATTTAAGATGTGGCTAAAAGCTCTTTTTTTGCAAGTGTCCTTCACTTTTTCTGTTGTTAACTCTGTTACAGAATCCATTCCCTTTTTAGAAACCATTTTGCTTAATAGGATTTACAAATATTATATTGACATCTTTACTGAGAGAAGTATTAACAGTAATATATTAATAGTATATATTAGTCCTAAGTGCACTAGATCATCACACTTGTGATTGAAAGAAAAATTAATTCAGCTTTGCCAAAAACTTTTTCAGAATTCCTAGCAGGTGTGATCCAGCTGACAGATAAACTTTTCCTGACCTGTATTCTCATGACCTAGTGGAATAGTCTGTTACAGTTTTGGAATTATCTGATGATTGTACAAAATAAAATTAATCTGAAACTTTTATTTGAAAAATGCATTATTACTACTATTTCACACATTTTCTTTACAATGTGCTGTGTCAGTGAAATGGCATATAGCTACAATTTATTTACCTTCACTTTAATGAAAAAAATTGTTATATTAATAAAAATCCTGGCACTGAAGACATTCCATTTAGCTACATGTTGAAATTCATGAGTCTTCAGAATACAGTTATAATTCGGTATTATATGTTTCCCTGGTTTCCAAATGTGCTACAGCTTGTTTTTTAGTACTTTTCTCTCATTGTTTAGTCCATAAAATACTACTTTTTCCTCTGCCAAGGCTTTGATCATGGATGTCTTCTGGTTGCAACTATGCATGTTGAAGAGATCTTTAGTGACACAACTCAATTCGTCTGCCAGAAGTTACCACATAAGTTATAAATGGTATAGGAAAATGGACCAGAGAAGTCTGAAGTAAAAAATTACCCAACTAAAAAGCTGAGTAGAGCAGATGAGATGAAGATGTATCTTCTTTCCATTTTTCAGGTCATGTAGCAAATGTGATTTCAAGAAGTACACACATTTGGATTGTGTGCAGTAAGATGAACAACCACAAGTGCATGATTTTCAACGGGTTTGCAAAGGAAGTTTTGTAAGATGGGATATTGCAACAAGGTGAGTAACTTGAACTTCTAGTTTCTTATTCAATGCAGTAGGTCAGCGCATACCAAAACTTCAGGGTGAAATCCTGACTTTGCTGTATATGCAGTATGACTTTCAGCATTGACTAACCATCAATACCACCAGCAGAGATGCAAGGGTCACTGATAGGTTAGAAACTATGCATGCACCTGAAAATGGTCAGGTAGAAGTTAAGGCTACTTCCAGCAAAAAGGAAGCAGGACAGGCATCCCAGCTGAAGTGCTTCTACACTAATGCACACAGCATGGACAACAAACAGGGGGAGCTGGAAGCCATTATGCAACAGGAAAATATGATGTTGTCACCATCATAGAAACGTGGTGGGATGACATGCATGGCTGGAGTGCTGCATTAGATGGCTACAAACTCTCCAGACGGGACAGGCAACGAGGAGAGGAGGTGGGGTGTCTCTGGATGTTAGGGAGTGTTACGAATATCAAGAACTTAAAGATGGGGACAATAAGGTTGAGTCTTTATGGGTAAAAATCAAGGGGAGGGCCAACAAAGCTGATACCATGGCGGGAGTCTGTTATAGACCACCCAACCAGGATATAGAGGCAGACAAAATATTCTGCAAGCAGCTGGGAGAAATCTCACAATTGCTAGCCCTTGTCCTGGTGAGAGACTTCAATCTACCAGGTATCAGCTGGGAACACAATACAGCTGAGAGGGAACAGTCTAGGCAGTTCTTGGAGTGTGTTGGGGAGAACAGGCTGTCCCCCCCGTGCTGAAAAATAAGCCATCAGGGGAAAAAAAACCAGCTTGGCTGAACAGAGAGATTTGGTCAGAACTCAGAGAAAAAAGGAGAGTTTATGGCCTTTGGAAGAAGGGGCAGGCCACAGAGATGATGCAAGGCTGTGTAGGGAGAAAATTAGAAGGGCCAAAGCCCAACTAGAACTTAACCTGGCTTTGGATGTTAAGAACAATAAAAAACATTTCTATAAATATATTAGTAACAAAAAGGAGGGCTAAGGAGAATCTCCATCCTTTATCAGATGAAGGCAGTAACATAGTGACAAAGGATGAGGAGAAGGCTAAGGCCTTCTTTGCCTCAGTCTTTAGTAGTAGAGTTGGTTGTTCCCCTAGTATGCAGTCCCCTGAGCTAGCAGATAGGGCTGACGAGCAGAATGAAGCCCCTGTCATCCAAAGGGAGGTGGTGAAGGACCTGCTCCAACACCTGGATATAAACAAGCCTATGGGGCCAGATGGGATCCACCCAAGGGTACTGAGGGAGCTGGTGGAAGTGCTCACTGAGCCACTTTCCATCATTTACCAGCAGTCCTGGCAAACTGGGGAGGTCCCAGCTGACTGGCGTCTAGCAAAGATGACGCCCATCCACAAGAAGGGTGGGAAGGATGATCCGGGGAACTCCAGGCCTGTCAGTCTGACCTCAGTGCCTGGGAAGGTCATGGAACAGATCATCCTGAGTGCCATTATGCAGTACATGAAAGACACCCAGGTGATCAGGCCCAGCCAGCATGGGTTCATGAGGGTCAGGTCCTGCTGACAAACCTGATCTCCTTCTATGACAAAGTGACCCGCTTGCTGGATGAGGGAAAGGCTGTGGATGTTGTTTACCTGGACTTTAGCAAGGCCTTTGATACAGTCTCCCATAGTATCCTCCTGGAGAAACTGGCTGCTCATGGCTTAGATTGGTATATTCTCCACTGAGTTAAAAACTGGCTGGAGGGCCAGGCCCAGAGAGTGGTGGTGAATGGAGTTAAATCCAGTTGGCGGCCGGTCACAAGTGGTGTCCCCCAGGGCTTGGTACTGGCACCCATTCTCTTTAACATCTTTATCAATGATCTGGATGAGGGGATCGAGTGCACCCTCAGTAAGTTTGCAGATGACACCAAGTTGGCTGGGAATGTTGACCTGCTGGAGGGTAGAGAGGCTTTGCCGAAGGATCTGGACAGGCTGGATCAATGGGCCAAGGCCAATGGGATGAGGTTCAACAAGGCCAAGTGCTGGGTCCTGCACTTGGGTCACATCAACCCCCTGCAGCGCTACAGGCTGGGGGGCTGGAGAGCTGCCTGGCAGAAAAGGACCTGGGGGTGTTGGTGGCCTGTGTGCTGAACAGGAGCCAGCAGTGTGCCCAGGTCGCCAAGAAAGCCACCAGCATCCTGGCCTGGATCAGGAACAGAGTGGTGAGTAGGACTTAGGAGGTGATCATCCCCCTGTACTGGGCACTGGTGAGGCCCCACCTCGAGGGCTGTGTCCAGTTTTGGGCCTTTCACCACAAAAAAGACATCGAAGGGCTGGAGCAGGTCCAGAGAAGGGCAACGGAGCTGGTGAGGGGTCTGGAGCACAAGTCTTGTGAGGAGAGGCTGAGGGAGCTGCGGGTGTTCAGCCTGGAGAAAAGGAGGCTGAGGGGAGACCTTCTTGCTCTTGGAGGGATTTACAAGATAGGTTGACATAGCACTTAGAGACATGGTTTAGTGATAGTTTTTGTCAGTGTTAGTTTGATGGTTGGACTAGATGATCTGAAATGTCCCTTCCAACCAAGGCAATTCTATGATTCTATTCTATTCAGCAGAGCCAGGATTCCACTGAACAAAGCCTAGAAACTTAAAGCTTATGATTTACAGTTGAGTGCTACATCTTTACAGTGTTTCAAGCACAGGCACCATCCTGCAAAAAGAAACCTATGATTTCTCTCTTACTTCCCTGTTCCATATTACCAAGGATGTGAATATGAAAAAAATGCCCCCAGCTCTCATTGCTTATATAACTTTGGCTATAATTATTGCTTCCTACACCTGGGTACATAATCCTCTTTGACAACATGATCTGCACAGCAACTGGGACTCCCGCATTGTAAACAGTTTTGCATGTGACTAAGGGCAAGCAGGTGAATGGTAGCCTGCAGCAGGCAATATTTTTTCCTATCAGAAAATTTTGAGTCAGGATGGCAAATAAAGGGCAGGAACTTGTAAGCAATGAAGAAACAATCTGTAGCTTCCTGCTACCATCACTGTTCAGACTGCTTTCTGCAGACCTTTAAGACACACATGGAGGGTAGATGTACCCTTCCCCACCTGCACCCAGCAGATGAACTAGATTAGAGAGCACAACACTTGATGCAAGAACTTCTCTACTATTCTGCATAATCAAGAGCCAATCCAGATTTTAGAAGTGTCTTAACAAATACAAGTACTAAGTCAAATATATTTAATGAGTATTTGATGATTCTTTCCATTTCAGTAGCAGAGGCCTAGAGTATACATGTGATAACTTTAGGCTTGGAATAAGCAAGTGCACTATTTGACTTCTCTAAGATTATTTCTACTTATAATAGGTTTGAATTTGAGACAGAATGATGTTTTTTCCAACATATAGACAAATTCCAAATCTGTACTACATAAATCAAATTTTTAATACCACTTTACTGCATGTTTAGATCCTTAACACTTAAATAAAATAATGGTGTAACTGAAATGGAGGAAGTGATCAACTGGATAACTGCATTTTTTAGGAAAAGCATCTACTAAAATCAAACAAAAAGCCCCCCCAGGGCACATTCAAAGCAATACAGCCAGTTCTAATTCTGCAAAGCTTGGTGTCTCTTGTACATGTCCTTATCAGTGTTGTCAATGCAGGCTTTTATTTCAAGTCTCATTATGTGCTGAGTTGAAGATTTGAGTTCTGAAGTCATGCAAATGTGAGAATTTTTTCTCCTACTTAAAAAAAAAATATTTTTCTGATCTTCATATCTGCAGAAGAGATTAATAGAACTCAGATGGATCACAGAAGTATCAGAAAGATTTTTTTTTTTTTTTTTTTTTTTTTTTTACACATCTCAATTTGTATTCTTATAGGTGGGGGAGGTGAAATGTGAGCTTTGTACTGTGGTCATACATTAAGAGTTTTTACGAGCCTGCTCTTTTTTGTGGATTTTTTTTTCTTAATCTTGAAAGAATCAAAGAATTGCAGCATTATCACAGCAGTCTTGTATCTGACATTTAATGATGGCACCTCTGACCTCCCGAGCTTCAGCAACATTTAGTTCTTGTTATTTTTCTCTTGTTTGTCCTTCCTCTCTTACTCTCAGGGAAGGACACACAGTCAGAGCCTAACTGATGAACAGTAGAATTCACATGCAGGCAACTATGGGAAACAATTTTTTGCCTCAAATTATAGATTTGAGATGCTTCTATTGTCTCTGCCACCTGCTTTCCTCCCTGAGGCATTTGAATCAGACTCATTGCAACATTATTAACATTAATTACACTTAAACTACCACTGAGAGTAGGAAGGCACCCTTCATAAAAAAGCAACAACAAAACCCACCCAATCCTCCTCACCCTTCTCCTCCAAAAACCCACCAAAAGCCTTGACAACCCGAAAGCTCTTCCCTGTGAGCAGGTCCCTGGTGAAACTGCATCTTTTGCAGATGGACTGCAAACACAGCAGTCTATTTACATACATACTGTGTTAAAAACAAAAGCACACTTACATGAAAGATCCAACTAGTTGAAAGAGGGTCATTTTAAGGGAAAATTTGCTTTTGTAGAAATAACAAGCACATGTACCATGTGGTTATGACTTACTGCAAATTTCAGCAGTGTAGAGTGAAAGTGGGCGACTAAAGGAAAAAAGTGATCTCAAGAATCTGATACATCAGGTGTTACCATCAGAGCCTGCTCAAGATCTGTGGACAGGAAAACACAGCTGTGGAACAGAGGCCACAAAGGAGGGCTTACAACCTCAGGTTACTGCTCCTGCCTGGGGAGCGGGTAAGCCAGGTGGCGGCTGCTCCCAGAAGCATATCCTACTCCTCTGCCAGGGACCGCAGCTGCCCCAACACACACCAGCCCCACTGGGGCTGGCCGCTGGGCCACTAGTTGTGGCCAGCCCAGCTTTCTTGAGCTCTTGCACAGGCAAACCAGCAGAGCCCTACCCACTCTCCCACCAGCCTACTGACCACATCCTATATAGCTCTTGTTAAAACCATACTACTTCTTTTCCTTGATCTAAGCCATGATGGTCACTCTTTTAAGAGAAATTCTAAATAATGTTTATATATGCCTTTTATGTGTGAGAGCTGAATTTCTAGAATGTAATATGGTTGTCCTGGAAACACTGCAGAAGTTGTGTACTAATTACCTTTTTCAAGTACTTAATATTTTTGTCATCAATTTTGTCATCAATGACCCATGTAAAGAAAGACATCTGAATGAGAAAATCACATCCAAATGGAAGTTCAATGAAAATGAGCTATTGTATTAAGAAAATGTGTTAAATAGCTAATTGGTTTAAATAAATGTTTGACTAGAAACAGTGAATTGTGTGCTCATTTGACAAGGATGCAGAATTACTGAAATTTCTATGTATAAATAGATGTGAGTATTTTCTGATACTCATATGCATGTGACATCAATATGCATGCTGTTTAGTGCTTCTTACTGAAATAAGACAGCAATTACTGTTAGGTAATGCTGAATTTTATTTTATGGGACTGAGACACAGGAGGACTTATCATTTTTATGGGAATTCTGTGATGTCTGACCAGTTGGTTCAAGGTGGAGCTCAAATTAAAACTTAATGCCAGCTGGTAGCCTGAACAGCAGACTGAGGAGAAAGGCACACACCTAAACAACAAGCAGTGATCATTCCCAAGTATGTAAGAAAAATGCACTTTAAACAAATGCTGTTTTTCAGGACTATAAACACAACCTCCCATTGGAGGTCAGTTGTGCAACTACTTTATGATACTCTTAATACTGCTAACAATTTTGCATCAGTCTGGACTGAAGCTCTTTACATACACCGAAGTACATACCTCTAGAATAACATGGTCCCATCACTAAAGTACTATACGCTATGCCAGCAATCTGAGCTTCCCCAAATTAATAAAAAGAAGATTGGCATTTCAAACTTACTTTTTGAATTTGTTTATTATCCCACTTTCATTTGTCTTGATGTCATGTACCATCTTTTGAAGCTTCCTGTGAAAGATATTAAACAAAGCCAGCATTAAAATTACCATGTGGTTGAACACACATTTATATAAATTAAGAAAAATACAGGAAATGCACTTCCAGTAATATTTCACACAATAAAAGTGCTTATTGTATGTTCAGTAAGTAGTTTAGTTACTCAATCATTTGTGTATGACGCTTCCTTCCCTTTTTAACAGAGCTCCTTCGCATGATTTCTGTTATCCTTCTCCTTAACACAAGTGCAGTTTAAACAATCAATTTAAGAGTAAGTGCATAAGGAAAGATCATTGCCTAAACTAATAGTTTAGAATATTTAAATGTTAGCATTTTGTTCAGAACTGACTTTAAAACACTCTACAGCTACAGTGGGAATGCCCTCTCATTTCTGACCTTACACAGGTCGTTTTATCAGCGGACAGTATGCCTCACTCCCACAGCTCCTGCAGTTGTAATAGGATGGCCCAGGCTATCTGAGAAACAATTAGAGTATCCATGACTAAGCTGTAAAAATTCATCACCTCAGGACTCTATTTACATGGACTGATATCTGGAACCAAAGATTGTTTTTATTCATCAGCTGCACTGACCTCATTTAAATTTTACTTGTAATCAAGGAAATTTAAATTAAATATCTCATTTTTCACTCAGTAAGTATCATTTAGAATCCTACCTCCCTTCCCATTTAAAAAAATACACCACTAAAATCAAGCCGCAGTCAGGAACAGAGATGTAACTTTCTGCAAAAGACTGATTTTATAGTGAAACCTCTTAGAAGTCTGGTCATACTAAAAATTTATATAGAATGCATATATATTTTTAATTTCTTCACATGGTGTATGTTCTTCCTGTTCACTAAATTAAGTATCCTTTATTAGACCTGAGCTGAAGATTTATCACAACCAATAAAGGAAACAAATGATATTTTACAAAAAGGGCTTAAAAAAAAAAAATTTGCCTTCCATCCTTCATTTTAAGTTGTTTATGTCATTTCATGTCATTTAGTCTTGCCTACCTCACTCTGATGCACAATTAGGCTACCAAAAGACTCTTAGAAACTTTGCTTACAAAGACAAGTACAAATAAAGTATTTCTTCCTTTCTTTAAAGCTTTCTTTAAACTTTAAACCCTATTACACAGAAGGTTGAGTAATATACAGAGCTTTGCTAGAAAGAAACTATCTTCCAGCTTCACCGTTAGTAATTACAACTGCCTCTTAAGAATTAGAATAGGTTTTTCAAAGGAAATTGGAATTAGATGAGGAATAGCTAAACAAAATAATGAAATAATTGCACTATCATTATGTGATTATTTGTCTGCAGTCCATGGCTCAGGCTAAGCAGGCACGTAGCCACTCAAAGCATCAGGTAGCAGAGGCTTATGCTGAGATGGACCTTCCCACCTCTGCTAACAACTTTAGAGCAGCTGTAGTTAGTGACAATGAATCCCACTTATGCAACTTGCCTAGAAAAAGAAAGTTAAATAACTGACTACTTGTAAGTTTTTGGAATCCTGAAATAAGTAACAAATCTTAACTTTAGATTATGTTTACTAACATAATAGAAAAAACCGATCTTTTCATTGTGTTGTCTGGAATTGAAGAATATTCCACATTTTCTGCAGCCCTGTAATACAACAACATGGAGTATCCTGCTCTGCCAGGCTAGGTCATGGGTCTGATATTCTAAAATATCTTTGCCCAAGTCTTTGCCCAATTTTGCTTAAAAAAAAATTCAACCTTAAAAAACAATTCAACAATTCAACCATTTTAGGTTCTCAACTCAGCAAAAACAGAATAATGAGAATAACTGAGAAATAATTCACAAGCACATAGAATCATACATCATTAACTCTTGATCAAAACTCATACAATTAATTTACACAAAAGGATATAATGTTACCTGCTGATATATATAAAAAAATATTATCGTTTATAGATGTGAGAAACAGGTGCATGGCCAAAGAGTTTGAGATTTCCTGCAATGATGCACCACATCTATGAGAATAGCTTGGATTATTATCTAAACTAACCAGATACATTAAATCTGCAAGTTTAGGGTGAAGATCTCAGAAGAACTTCTGCTTTTCTGTGTTTTGTATTTTTTTTTTTTTCCTAGTAGATTCAGCTTCTGGTTATGCTTGAAACATCACGAATAGCCATCTGCTGCATTTTACTGTTTCTGTCTTGTGCCCCAGCTGGCACCTGGCAGTGTCTATAAATGAAAAGTAATGAGGAATTGAAAGAATGTGAGAAGATTTAAATGGTTTAGTTCAAGTTTGGGGAGAATGCTTGTATTTTTGCCCTTTTCAAAAGGTTTGCAAGCCTTAAGTTAGAAATGCACATAAGCATCGGTGATTTGTCTTCCAGTATTTATTGTTTGTTAGAGACAGGACCCAAACAAACAAACAAGAAGTATCTAAGGTAGATTTAGATCTTAATATTGCTTATCTCTGACATTCATATTATCTTTTCAACAGTAAAATAATGGCTTTATTTTGAAAAAAAAAAAGTGTTTAATTTTTCATGATTGATTTTCTTTTATATTGTCACTTTGGTTTCTAAACCACCCAACCCCTGCAAATAACACCCACCCCAAAAATATAACTACAAGTATCCAGGACAGTTTGCTTTTCATATTTAGGTGAATTAATTAGACTATCATGGGTGTTCCACGTGTGCTGAAAAAGGCTACAGTTTAAAAGAGCATTTTTATATATATTTCCACTTAAAAGAAAAATAAGTATTTAGATTAGAGATAATCGTATGTGCCTCTACTGGTGCGATCAGTTAATTTTAACCATACAGATGGAGTGAAATCAAAACATTCCCATTCCTGCATCATCAAGTTCCCTAAAAATCTCTGCCTCTTACTCTTTTTCTGAAGCCATTTCATTTTCTAATTACAAGTTGTGATAAATTAGGGAGTGTCTAATATGTTTTGTGTGATTTTTTTTTCCAGATTTTTAAGTTATGTAGCTGTTGTAGGAGTTGCTAGAATACTTAGCTTGTTACCTGTGGACAACTTGTCATGTATCAAGTCTGTGGGAGTAAGCAAATAACCAGCACCCTGTATAGTGGTGACTGTAGGAAGTCATCAAGCATGGATGATCTCTGGTTCAAGTGGAATCCCCTTTGACCCATGAAGTTGAACAAGCTGCAAAAACCAGTTGGTGCAGTTAACTAGAGGCTGAGATTTCTTGAGATGTCAGCCGATATAATAAGCTACAACTGACAAGTTTTACAAAGAGCTGTCTGACTTGTAATTTTAGGGAGACAGTAGAAAAGATGAGAGGCAGATAGAAAAGCCTATAGCACAAGGATTCTCCCAATCTTAAGAGTCTCAAACCCAAGCCTAAAGGCCATTCCAGGGTGATGAGGAAAGCGAGGCACAGGAGGACATTTATACATTTGATGTTTTGCCTGGATCTGCATATCTGACTAGTTCTCCAATTCTTTTTGTATGACTCTCAAATACTTTTCTTTACTTCAGATGATACTCCAAGCAAAGAGGTTCATTGTGGGAGGAAATTATCAAAGCAGCAGCCCTGTGAGTATCCAGGAATGGAGGCTTAATGCCCCCATGGAGACAGCCCTTGCTTCAGGGACATAGCAACAACTTTCTTTTTGCACAACACGGCTGAGTCAGGACCTTCTTACCAACTAATGTTTATTCTCTCATTCTCTTGGGACAAACAGATACTAGAAACATTCAAGTACCTCAACCAGCTAATACTGTAAGCAAAAAAATAAGCAATGCTAGTTTTACCTTGCATTGCAATTAATTAAAGATAATTGAGAGGTCAAACTTCAGAGTTGTTTCCAAACTACAAGCACCAACTCTTCATTCAACCTGATTAAGAGCTTTTTATGTAAAATCAGGCTTGCAGAAAAAGGTGCAATCTGTGTCACTGTTAATCTTTGAAAACACTTTCTGCAAGAGATAGCTATTTTGAGATGCAGTTTAATTGTTACAGGTATAGACTGGACAGGACCTTTTAATCAGGAGCTCACTGCACACAGAACAGTCTTTCAAACATGTGGGTGAGAAGTTCGGAAGCCTGGGCTGTAGGTGCTTCTAAAATGTTCTAGGTTTCTAACAAATACAGTAGAAATGTACATGTTGGAGAGAATAACAAAAAGGACTGTTCAATGAATCCTAAAAAGAAACACTTTTAAACCCTGTGTTGCTATTCTTCATATCTTATAAATTTTGACCTCCAGCAATTCAGAATTATCACAAGTGCTGACCAAGGGGTCAGTAGCTGTGATACATGCATAAAGGCAGGCAGAAAGATTTACCATTGCAAATACAGTATGCCCTGAAAGAAGGATTTGCTGTCACAAATACCTAGCTGTGCTCAAGGACTGGAAGAGCTGCCTTGAGATAAAATGAAACACAGCCTCTCTCTGATGTAGTCACAGCTCAGCCCATGAGCAATGTATGTCAGGTGAAGGGCGATGGGTGGCCCTGCCCTGTGGGACACCTCCCCGTGCCCAAACATTAGCTGGAAGCCTTTGGCTCTTTCACACATGAGCTCTCTCACAAAAGCTTTCCAAAGTTAAAATAATTTAAAAAAACAAAAAAAGGAGAAAAATATAAATAACATGATAACATGAAGGATAAAGTGTGTGACAAGCTTTGAACTCAGATGTGAGATGAGAAAGAGGAGTTTGTCTTAATTTCAGACAGAGCTGTGTAATAAGGAATCCTCTTATCATTTAGAATAATTTTTGAGAAATTGTATTTATCAGTATTGTAAATCTGTGAAAAAATTTGCAAAAGTATATTCTATAAATACATATATTATGGCTCAGATCAGTTGGCAGAAATGGCTCTGCAGAGGCCATGGCATCCCCCTGCTCCTGGAACGGAGAGGGATCTCCTGTGTGCACCACCAGCACAGTCCACCAACTTGTGCACAGCAAACCCAGTGCTTTAGCCCTTCAGCAGACACGCTGCTGGGCAGTGCTGTAGCTGGTGGCGAGGGACAGGAGCGCTGCGTGGTCCCCGGGTCCGGGTGCCTCTGGCCGCCAGCACAGAGAGCACTTGCAGTTGGGAGTGGTGCTGATAATGCTTTTGGAAACAGGGCTGGCTACAGCATCAGTAGGGAGTGGAGGCAAAACAAAACCAGTTTTAAATGAATCACAGGAAGCTTTCGGCATTACAAGCGTACATACTTCTGTTTATCTGGAGAACTACAATTATACCTCTTAAGTTTCTGCTGCTTACTGGACTGCCTGAATTATCTGTTGTGCCTCTTGAAAAATTCTGATCTATGCTCTGGGACCAATTTCTTTAGTTAGAACAGGGCAGAATTTTGAACAGGATATATTCAGACAGAAGGCCTGCAAGGGAAGCAGCAATATTGACACATTCAATATTAAGTGACCTGTATATTCCTTCTCCTCTCCACATCAGTTAGATCTTTAACTGATAAGCTGGACTGGTTCCAAAAAGATAATTTAAAAAAAATCACCGCACTAAATCAATCAGTCTGTTTGAACTCTAGTTTCATTTCTTATACATTTTTGTGTACCTCTGTTTCTTACTTACAGGGCACTCTGTACTTCTGTGTTTAGAAGGTCCCATTTTGTGAAGATCATTAGTGCCTCCACTCACTTAAAGTAAGACTAGGTAGGAGTAGCCCCCACTTTTGTCTTGAGAAAGGCAGCATAACAGATCATGTGGGGAAAACAAAACAAAACAAAACCCAAGCATTTATTTATTTCTTGTTTTTCAGGCAAATTCAAATACTTAGGATTGGAAACCTAAAATGGGATTTAGTAAGCACAAATTTAGACTTAAAAGAAAAACACCCGCCAAAAAATCCACCTGCTTCAGCTATAAATTTTAATGGAAAAGAACCAAAAGAAAGAAGACAAAGTGAAGAAGAGTTTAATGGAATTTGAAGAATAAGAGCTAAGTTATTATAAGATGAAAAACAAAAATTAAAGAGCAGAAAACTAAAAGTTACTACAGTACCTCTGTTATTTAAAAAAAATCCAACACATTAAAACATGAAATTAAAGAAGGAACAGCATGCCCAGCCCCCTCCTTTCCTGCTTCTCACAGCACAATTATTCCACCTTCACCCCAGCTGGCCTTTATTTTGTGTTTCTATTAGGTTTTAGTTTTATAAACAGGTGTGCAGGTGACCAAATTAAGAAAGTTACTGTTTCTGGAGAAAGGGGAAGAGTCCTGTTTGCTCAGGGTGGGAGGGAAACCAGCTCACCTTGACATTTTGCAAAGCTTGAAGCTCTTATCTTGGACAATCTTCTCAAGCTAAACAAGAACCACCTCTCTTACAACAGGCTTCCATTAACACATTGCTTCCGACACATGGAATATGTGGTATCTTTCCACATATGGAAGAATATGGGTCTCTGAACTGGATGAGTGTCCTCATAACATGTAATTTCCTATTTCTTGCCAGTTTGGTGCATCTAAAATAACCCAATTAATTATATACAACAACTCTCCCCACCTTCCACTGCCCTTCTAATTGCTTAATGGAAAGCAAAGGAAATCCCCAAATACAGAAAGCACTTAATTCCTCTTGTTAGGTAGGCCTCCTTCAGGTGCTTCATATCTCCACATGCACACTCCCCTAAATGATATGGTACCCGGAACAACAAGAGCAGCATTCCCTTGCAAGGAAACACAAGCTGGCATCAGCTGGCTGTGCTGGAGCTGGTGTCTGCTATGGCTGTTACATTTATATAAAGCATAAAGACGTAAAGTTCCTGAGGTGCAATCAGATAAACTGCTTCAGTTGCCACTTAACATTGGGGGTCACTGGTCTTCATCCACTCTGGGGGCCTATAGCAGCTGCAATGCCTTTCCTGATGGGAGAGGAAGAAATTTGGAGCTGGAGGTGGTAACCTGTGACACCAAACCATCAGTTCAAGGCAGCTTAACAGATAAAGATCAAAGGCTCCCTATCTCAAAGCTGTGAAAAATAGTTGAAAGAGGCTTGCTTATGGGCAGAAGTCAATTACAGACACCTCTCTGAGAAAGCAGGAACAACAAATTGTCTTCTGCTGTGTTCATGACATACACAAGAGGAAAGGACTATAAATAGTTTCCTTAAGAACGTTGATTTATTATTAAAGTCTGAATAACATCCTATTCTGCTCACTTTTAAATCATCCACTATGTTTTCTAAAGGGAAACCAAATAAGTAGAACAGGTGTGTTTGTATGGTACACACAGAAGCACAAAGGCTAAATATTGATTATACTTTTAATCTTCATATGCCCTCTAGATAATCTTCACAAAGAAGCTGTCACTCTCTCTTGTACTAGTAAGTACTAACATTGAGTAAATGAAAATATGTAGTATGTAAAGGCATCATACATCTTTGACACAAATCAGTCCTAACATGAAATTAAGTAGTATAATTATTTTGAGGTGACTGGGAATCCTGCGCATTGAAGGAACCTATGCACTTTTACTGGGAGGACAGAGACAATCAAAGCCCTATCAATGACATCAGCTACTTGGAGCAACTGCTTCCTCATTTTAGATCAAGGCTGAGGCTTGTTCTCAGTATGCATGGACATTTTAGTAATAAAAAAAAGATTTCATGTGTTTACATTGCACAATCTTTTTTGCAGTTACTTTTTTATTTTATTTGGCACAGAATAGTAAACCTGGTTCCTGTCATCTTTCTTTACAGCCTATGGGGGCTTCACAGCTCTTTTTGAATATCAGAAAGTGATGGCCAGGCAGTTTTTTGTATAGCTTTTAAATATGAATACTTAATAAAAGCTGAAGGCATTTCAGGTCTGGACACCTTTTCCTTCTTATCCAGCCTCTCTTTCTGCTCTCCTCTTTCTCCCAACTGGATAATAGTGATACTGTAAGTAATATAATTAGCTAAGTGAGTATTGCACATCACCTTTTGACACAGAAAGTTAAAAGATATTTTCTGTTCTGAGTTTGGTTACTGATCCCTTTTACACACCAGTTGTCTGGATGTGAGCTGATGTATTAGAAAACAAAAAAAAAACCCACAGAAGCTACATTCAGAAGGCTTACTCTGTTTTTCTGGAAGGTTTACAAGCAGCAGCAGGACACTAAATGCATTAGGTTACTCTAAAATACTGT